ACACAATAGAGAAACCAGAAGTAGATGGACATTTATATGAATAACTGAATTTTCAAAGATGCAAAGACAATTCAATGGAGAGAGGATGGTCATGGCTTTTTTTCCCCATTGAAGTGGTATTAGAACAATTGGATTTCCATATGCAAAGAATGAACTTTGACCCATACCTCACATCTTATTAAAAAATTAACTTCAAATAGTTTATGGACCTAATAAGACCTTGGTTTTTCTCCTTATAGAGGAAAACATATGAAAAACCCTTTGTTACCTTAGACAAATAAATTTTAATAGGATTTCAAAAGCACGATCCATATAAGGACAAATCGATAAATTGGACTTGATCAAAATTAAAAGCTTCTCTACAAAAGACAATGCTAAGATAATGAAAAGACAGTTATAGACTGGGAGAAAATATTTTCAAATTGTATATCTAATGAAGGACTTGCATCTAGAATATAGAAAGATCTCTCGAAACCAATGATAAGGAAACTCAAAAAATAGGCGAAAAATTTGAACAGATACTTCATCAAAGGAGATATATGCATGGTGAATAAGAACATGCATGGCGAATAAGAACATTATTAGTCATTAGGGAAAATACAAGTTAAAACCACAATGAGATACTTGTGCCCAGCTGTTAGAATGGGTAACACTAAAACGATTGACCATACCAAGTGTTTGTAAGAATGTGGAGGACTCGGCATGCTCATACTTCACTGGTGGGAATGTAAACTAGTGCAACCCTTCTGGAAAACAGTTTGGTAGTTTCTTTAAAAGTTTAGCATCACCAGCCATATGATCTAACTGTTCCACTCCTAGATCTTTTCCCAGGAGAAATGAAAGCAGATGTTCATACAAAGACTTAAACACAAATGTTCATAGCTTTGTTTATAAGATCCCAAACCTAGAAACAACTCGAATGTGCATCAACAGGTGACTAAATTTTGGTGTTCAGTATATAATACTTCTCGGTGATAAAAATGAGTGAGCTATTGATTCATGCCACAACATGAGTGAATCTCAAAATACTTATATGGGTGAAGGAAGCTAGATAAAATAGTACACACCATATGATTCCATTTATGTAAAATTCTGGAAAAATGAGACTACAGTGACAGAAAGCAGATGAATAATTGCTTTGGAATGGGGGAAGGGGTTCAGAGGTAAGGGAGGGCAGATTTACACTGGGGCACAAGGAAAATTGGGGGCGATGGATATATTTATTATCTTGATTACGATGATGATTTCACGGGTGTGAATGTCAAAACTATTTAAATGGTACACTTTCCATACATTCAGCTTATCAAGTGAGAATTACAAGAAAGCTGTTTAAAAATGAAATAATGGAAAAACTACATGAATTGTTTACCTTTTTTTCCTGATATAGTGGCTTTATGTTAGAATGGTTGCAGTGCGAACTCATATAATCTCATAGTGTATTCACTTCTCATTTTGGCAGAGTGAAGATCTGACTCTTTTAATTAAAGAAATGGAGCAGGGACGCAGTGACCTGAAAAAGGTGCAAAACCTTTATTCCGAGTCCTTGATCATGGACTGGTGGTACAATGGAGAAAAGGGAAGAGACAATAAGTGAGCATGCCAAACCGTCGTCACTGGGGGGCTCTCTCATGCTCTGTTCACTCTCCTTGGCCCTTCTTCCTTCTGCAATGCTTTGTGAGACTTCTTTTAGTGAAAAGAATCACATAGAGTGATTATGTAAGGATTTTTTTTAAACAAAGAAAACTATCTTTTAAAAATGATAGTTTAATAACGAAGGACTTAAGGAGGTCACAGTTGTTGGTTTGATTGATACCCAGTGTAACCAG